GTAAAATTAGTGAATGAAGTATCTTTAATTTCTGTCTCAGTCTCCCTTTAGACAAAAAAGGCCAGCCACAACTGACTTACACTAAGTTTACAGAATATTAAATTATAAAATGAATGAAGCAAATATAAAAAAAAAACTTGTAAATTTATTTAAAAATTTGAATCATTCTTGTTAAAATCTAACAGCAATCCACAGTGGTAGGTGGGTCAACTGTTAATCGCATCGCTACCACTACTCAAGCCACTGCTGTATCGACCACTTCGACCATCTCCTCCAGTGCAAGACCCCAGTCGGTGTGCCAGCCCCTATTAGATGCTATCAATCAGTACATTAGCTCACCGATGTTGAACCACACTCTACAGAGGACGTTTGGCTCTGCCATGACGGCTATTCACGGCCCTCCTATCAGGTAGTTAGAAGTTTTATGTAACAGTGTATGTTTAAACACTGAGAACTCCTTCAATTTTAGCGCTAAAGAAGTTTTACGAGTAAGGTCTGTTTTCCACTATGCAAATTTATTCGCGCGAATCGAAAGTGTCGGATGATGTGCATGCGCATTCACACTCATAGAGTTTTTGCGAAAAGAAAAAAATATGCGCAACTACTCAGAGCTCAGGAAGCGAACCGACGCTGTCGATTCATGCAAATAAATTGACCTAGTGGTGAACAGGCTTAAGAAGATAATGATCATAATGATGTGATTATGAAAGTTGATGATGGCTAATTTGATGATGATGATGATGAAAGACAAAAGCACTTTTTGAATTCAACGTGGTTTTGGTCAAACTAATCTTCCAGTCTGAAAAAACTATGTAATAATTATTATTAAATTTCATAGCTGCATGTTAAGTTAAAACAAGTGAATCATGCCCAGTCAGAAAACTCAGGTTGTTTTTTTTGACATTCTTAGCGGCAGTATTGTGCCAAGATGCTATACTATTATGTTTACCCGGAAGTTTAAATAATGATATTCTGGGGTGGATGCAGGATTTGGCGATAGGGGGTGTGTAAGAGTCCGCTCCAGCTCCACCCCACCATGGTTGGGGCTGAGGTGAGAAATTTTAAGAATATGAACCTGTAGGTGCCCGGAAATTGCACTCTCATATTATGTTCATAATGATAAAAATAATATACAAAAACACAATACAACAAAATTTATTTTTCTTAATCAAATTTAGGGGGGTCCGTCTGCACCCCCTCTGCATCCACCCCAGATATTGAGGTTAATAAATGTGTTAATTATGACGAGGATGATGACAATTTCACACCTATGATTCTGATTTTAACATAGATCGATTGCATTTTCAGCGCCCCATGTTCGTCAAGAAAGCGGAAATCGTCAGAAATGAACCAAGAATTTCAAATACCAGACATTATCCAAGGAGAGGTTGCCAGAATGCCTCCAAAATTCAAGATAATTCTTGACTCGACTCACCATTCACGAGGCAAAGATGTACATGTTATATGCAAATTAGGTAAGATTATTTAATTGATTACAAATGTCAATTAATATCAACTCATTTATAAGAGCTAACATATAGTATTGTGGGATGGTGTCCAACAGACCTATACCTATATTTTTCTTGCTATATCCTTCATAAAGTTAAGGCAAAGTGTACAACAAATTACGCTGATCCCAAGTTTATAGAAGCCACTTCCAGGAGATCTAATTTAATGTGCTTTCTTAAACACAGGGGCAAATCCAGAGATGTCTGAAAGTGGGGGGGGGAGGGGGTGAGTGGCGAAAGTAAGGCCGATCGAGATAACACTACCTTAGGGGGTCCAGGCATGCCCCGCGAAATTTTAGTTTTCAAGACGCCCCTCTGAGATAACCTAGATAACCTCTGAGGCATTTTTTTTTCCTTCCTTCTTTATTCTGTTTTTCTTTTTTATTACTTTTCAAAAAGGGGAGGGGGCGTGGCCAAAAATAGCGAGAAAATACAACTAGGTGCATTAAAATAAAAAGCCCAACAGCAACTTGCTGAGGAGACTTTTGAGGTTAGTAGAAATATTATGTCAAAGTCTAATTGAAAGCATTCTATTATATTCTATTGTTGTTTGGTATTTTGGTTCCACCGACGCTGACCGAAATGGCCTAATTCAATATGCCTCTCATAATATTATCGGTCACAATGAGGATGATATTGAGGACACATTTAATGCTAGGATGCTGGAAAAAATAAAATGTATAATTGGGGATCCAACACATCCTGGTAACTCTCTTTTTGAGTTGCTTCCTGGTGGAAGGAGATATACAGTATGCTCGTACGAGCAGGTACGAAAAGAGTTTCCATGAGCTATCCGGCCCCCTCAATAAAACAGCCTAATGCAGCATAGTATGTTCTGACCACTTTCATAAATTTTCGTAACTCTGATATTTCTTACTTTAGTATTATTTCATTTGTAGTTTGTTCATTTGTTTTCTCAACTTGGTACTATATGAAAAGAGCCACATTAAATATATCTGCGATGTAACTGATACATTGCATATGACAATAAATCGAAATTGAATTGAATTGAATGACAAGCTGACTTTAGAGAGGCAGTAGTAAAAGCATTCAAATAATCAGGATTAGTGGGAGATTGGTTAATTATTGCTTGTGGTGTGCAGGAGACAATGTCGCTTTGTTTTTTTAAAGGCTGAAGTTGACAGACCTTTGTACTTCATCATGGGCATAGGCTGGGGGATTCAGAGGGACATCCCCCACCCCATTACACCAAATTTGTTCCACTAAACTGGGTTACGATACCAAAGTAAACTAAAAATTACCTGATATTTCATTGGAAGAGAGACTGAGATTCACATTCTAGGATTTATAGTTCAACATTCACTTTTTTTTTTGGAATAAATGTTGTGTTGTAATGTAAATTGCATAACGTCCTTTCATTGTGTGCTAAATAACACTGAGTCATTATTACTATAATAAATTTTGATGGTGTATTCTCGTCGTTGTCTAGTGGTTAAGACATCAGGCTAGTTACCAGAATGTCGTGGGTTCGATTCCCACCCAAATCACTTGCAAAATTTTTTTCACAAGCATTTGGGAATGTACTGTGCATTCAGTACTTCGTATAATAACTTTACTATAAATATATATATTTTTTTGTGAATAGAAGATAAATGCCTTCCGAGTGTGCCGCCAATTTTTGTCACGATTCCAGAGAATTATCCCAACTCTAGTCCAAATTATGATCACCGCCTGGAGTACAGTAAGTCACCGTCTTCTACTGCTTTATTCTATTATCATTTAATAATAATTAATAATTACTATTATTTTTTTATTATTTATGGGTAGATATTTTTGTATTAAGTTTTCCATGTAAAAATATTATTTCAAACTTTTTTTTTCCCAGGTAACACTGAGTTCTTAAAGTCGGTTCAGCGGAATTTAGTAACCCAGCTGAAACATCTACCAGATAAGCATTCCCTGTCTCAAGTTATGGATGTGTGGGAGATGAGTGTTAGGAAAGCTTGCATCAATTTTTTTGCTGTAGGATAAAGAGCCATGCCAAATGTTTTTGGAAAAGCGGGAGACAGCCCAGGTGTAAAAGATTCGTCTATGGTTGGCAAGGACACTATTTGTCAATATGGAGGGCAGTTTAATTCACATGTTAGGCATTTCATAATAGCACAGCGCACTGGTTACGTCACAGTGTTGCCATAGTAGGACTGTGGAATTGATAATGCCTGAGATAACATATTGGTCATGCACTATGTATTCGTAAAGTACAGGCAAGTACAATGGTACGAATTTGTGGAAGAGAGGTGCAGTTGACATTTTTCCAGACCAATAAAAATTTACTACTGAGGGCGCTAATGACCTTTTGAGCCCCAGGTCACAGAAATTGTATGCATGCATGATTACTAAACAGAGGCCGGTGCAGGCCAGAAGGGGTATCAAGTACCTTTCGAGTAATGCTTGAATGACTTGGTGTATTCTCAGTATTCAGTAGCAGATGCATGGTCACACTGTAGGAGGGTTTGCCTTAATTATTTAATGTTTGGTTTGAATTAATCAAGTTAACTAGGTCAAAGGTTAAAAAGCATCTCATTGTTTTGTACATAGTCTGACAAATATATTGATTAAACTTATGGGCATGATTTAATCAATGCTACATACAGAATATTTTGATATTTATTAACTTATTTATACTGGTCGGTTGTATACTGAAGTACAATAAATATTGATAATGTTAATACAATTAATGTCTATTTAAACACTGTGGAAAATGGAATTGCAGAATTCTGATATATCTATTATAAGCTAAAGAGGTATTAGAAAAAATGATTGATGGACCATAAATGTGTAATAAACAGAAATAGACAGATATTTGAAAGAAGTGATGAATAAAATGAAAGGTTGTGATGAACAACATGAGAAATTTGCATATAGGACCCCACTCAACAAACTTAAATAAATAGTTCATAAAAATGTGTTAACAATAATTTTTCTCAAATTATATATAATTTTTTATAGTGTAGTAATGATTTTAATAATCATTTTCCACAAATAAAGTGTATGATTTCTTATAATGTAATACTTCTGGATAATGAGAGACAATCAAGGACACATGCGACCTGTATAGCGAGGTTTCCAATTCCAACCCTGAAGGAAGAGTATTCCAGACACATCCTTTGCATGAATGCGTGGTCAAAAGACTGGATTCAGTATTTGTAATAGGCAATACATACCAAGCATGGCTTATAATAATAGCTGATATTAATATAGTATAAATATTGATTTACACACCTATAATGGCCACAATTTAACTGAGAACAAATACATAACTGCCAAGTTGGGGAGTAGCTTGAGAGTCCTGAGCCCCACCATGGTTTGAAAATTCTTATTTTTAACATATCTAGATGAATAAAAATTACCCTCTCGACTTAATTTAAAAATTAACGTTAAATTTTTAAAGGAACATAAAACAAATTAGCCTACTATAAAATTGGACCTCTAAATCAAGATAAATGGTGTATAATAGACCACATCAGGCTATAATTTCGACATCTTATATTGTATTCTGTTATGTATATCGAAAAGGTTTTACATAGACTTCAGACCTTAATGGACTGGCGTGAGAGTTTGAGAATGATTTTTAAAAAATGTGAGTCACACACCAGATGGATTAGACTTGACACAAGTCTCTTAGTTTTTGTTTGTTTTTTTTCTCATTCTGGACAGCGCCACCAACGAGAAGGAAAGAAATCTAGTATGGGATGCCAATTAAATTAGGTATGGAATGCACAAAGTGCACTAAAGAGTGAGTAACCCAAAATTAGGGCCTGGAACCCAGGCTACAGATGGATGAGACCTTACCTTGGTAGCTATGCAGATAAAACAGTTATTGAATAACAAATTTCAAATAGTGTATAACACTTGTACACTTTTGCATGAATATCAACACTAATTAGGCAACCTACCAGTCTTTATAATAAAAATGGTATGATTAAGTACATGAAATTATTGATGACTAGTACAAAATAATTTCAATAAAAATAAATTTATTCATCACAACATGCTAATAATAACATCAACAATAGTAATAATAATATTTATAATAATACAGTAATAGTGAAATTGATAATAATAAAATATAATAATAATTATATATTAATCATTACACTACACATCTGTTGCATGGCCATAGTGTAACTAGGTTGGCTTTTTATATAGGTGTATATATATTTGTGAATAATGAAACAAACATAGACATTCAGAACACTGATATAAATATAGTAATTTCATTGGACATTTCTCCCACACCATATATCATATCAGTGGGGAATCTAGCTTAGGAGAAAAGCCACAGTCTGAAATTACTGTAAAGTATAAGAGTCGATCTTTAAGTTTCTTTTATTAATATTATTCATCTCTCTATTTCTACTGATGGAGCACATGGAACATTTAATTAGATATAGATGTATATATTAATATATACATTTATATATATAATAATCAGCATACATACAACAAATCGATGGGAACAATACCATTATGACATCATGATAGATCGGGTATTTAAGTGCGTGTATGAATAAATCTTTCAAAAATATATGGTTCAATGCATACAAACTAAGGCACAGTGTGAAAACAATGGAACTACATTGCACATATATTTGGAGCAGAATTTGTTAATTAAAATATAATGATGCTGCTGCTGATGATGATTTTGATAATTATGATGATTGCAATGATGAAAATATATGATTTCTATTCATAGCATTGAAATACAGTAGAATCCTTTAGGACACCCCTATTAAGTGGTCACTTTTCTGTATAACACTACAGCCAACCCCTATTTAGGGGACACCCTTATTTAGGGGACAGGGACAATTTCTGAGTTTGCCAAATGTTCTAATCAATACATTTTAACCACTGAAGTAGCAAAAACTTCATTCAGATTTATATTTTGACACATTTCAAGCAATAAACTTAACATCAAACCAGCATTTATTTCTCAATCTTTAGAATAGATATTAATTGGTATAGACAGTGCATGTGTTACTTTGTGTAAATCAAATATTGTCGATTTTGAACATTAACCATGGGGATTACTTGTTTTGTGTATTTTTTTTTTTTTTTTTTAACCATATTTATGGAATCATGCCAAAAACCCCTATTAAGGGGACACTTTTACATTTTTAGTTAGTGTTTCCTGAATAGGGAATACCCTATTAAGTGGACACTTATTTTGGTCCCGAGGGTGTCCCCTTAATAGTGGTTCTAGTGTATTGGCAAACTTAAGTAAGGCACATTGGGAAAACAAGAACAATAATGCATTAAAAATCTATGCTTTTTGCATTCAATGCTATATGAATTAATTTTATTATGTGGATTATTTGTATATATGAGAATGATGATGACAATGAGAATGATGATATGGGAGCACTGATAAGGATGAATATGATCACAATAAAATTAATTTGATAATGTGATATACAAGCACTTGTCTTCAGAAAAAGAAAACACTTTAATGGCTATGATGAAAGTCTGTCCGCAAGAGTTTCACTTGGCTTAGACGTCATTAGATTGCAGTTCACCTCTATATTGCCCCTTAACAACGGCATCGTGGGCCACTGTTGGGCGCTACAATTCTGGTAGCATTAGGGGATCCTGATAAAAAAAAACAAAAAAACATGCAATTTGTAAACAAAGAAATTGGTCATGGTTTTCCCATATTTAAACAAAGTGCTCAACCCAGTTCAACTAATGACATAAATTTATTTATTTTATTTTATTTTTATTATTTATTTAGGCACACAATACATGTGCCAAGGATTGTCAGTAGCAAATATATCACTGTCCTACTTGTAGGCGACAATCCCTTACACAAGACAAACATACACACACGATGCTTTACACAAACTAAATCTCAATATGAGATTTAGGGGGTGGAGTTGTTTTGGTCGTGAGAAAAAATCCTGCAACACTGACAGGAATTGAACCCAGGACCCTGGGATTGGAAGGCAAGCATCTTAACCACCAAGCTATATATGGACCTACAGTGCTATTGTTGATCATATTTCATTATATAATAAATTATCATCTAATTAGAGTAATTCTACTAATAATTTTTAATGGCTATATGGTTGAGTGGTGTATTAAATACCAATAATAACGGTAATCTTAATTTAAAATTCAACAATATGGATAATAATTATATGGAGTGCATCATGACTTGTAATGAATTCACAGCTCACCCGACGGCAAAGTTCGCTGTCAACAATATCAGACGCAATCAAAGCTGGTGTGATAAGTTCGGCAGAGAAGCCACCGTTTTCAGTAACTTGGGACTCCGGTGCCTTGAGGGCGTGCTCTCTCACAAAGCGAACTACTGCTCTCTCATCGACATATGGTAGCTGAAGCTTACATCCATATGTTACAAGTGCAAATGGCTAAAAATAGAATACCAGCACAAATTCAGTAATTATTTTTTCTGTTTAAATCAATGCAAATCGAAAATATTGATGTTACAGTGTTTTTATTAATATTGTACAGTATGCCTTCATTTTTTGTCATTTTTGATGTACACTTTGATTGATTTTTAATGTATTCAAGAGTCAAGTTATCCTGATATAGAAGATAATTATTAAAAATAATTTTTATTCAATAAACATAAACACATTACAACAACAAAAAAAAAAAAAGCAAAACATTTAGAAAATTCCCTAGGACATTTTTAAAATAAGTGACAAGGGAGGGGACATTACTAAAATTAAGGACAAGGAGAGAAGACAAACATATAATACTGTAGAAAATGAGTAATTGAGAATATAAATATTATAAATTACAATTGAAAATTATGGGTTGAAATAGGGAAAAAAATATATTTTAATAAATTGTAAGTATTGCAAAGATTTCACTTACTATATCACATGTGTGTGTGTATATATATATATATAATGCAACATGAAAAAACATAAATAAATCATACTATGTTTGCAAAATCAAAGTTAAAAAAAATTTAAGCTTACAAGTTGTCTCGGCAGTAAGTTGTATGGCGTAATGATATGTTTACGGAGACAGCGTGTTGCTATTTGTCGCAGCTTCTCTATATCTCTCTGGGGAGCACATGGGTGGTAGAGGAAGACGACACAGCCATGCTTATTGGTGTCAACAGGAGGAGGGTGAAAAGTAAATTAAATTTATGAACCATTAAAATCTTGCAAATCATGTAGAATAATTCTAATCAAAGATTTTCATGGTGCATGTCTAGTCCCTCCAATTTAAGACCACTTTTGGGACTGGTTTTTATGGTTTCAGCAGCTTAGGTCTTTAATTATAAAAAAAATATTATCAAGATGATATGATAGGTGTTAATTTGGGGCTGCAGAAGTGGGTCTTTCATTGGAGGAGCAGAGGGAGACCTGTACTATTAAAATCTGTAAATCTGTAAGTAATTTTTTTCAAATAAATATTGGGTGAAAGGAGGGAGTATACTTTTTTTTTTCTCAAGGACAAATCCAACACACTTGTATGGTGTTTGAAAGAAAATTAAACTAAACATCCAAATTACAATAAATGTGTATATATATATATATATATATATATATATATACTGTAAGATGTGTATAAGAGACAGCTATAATACCGTAGTTTCATTCAATGGGGCCCCGACAGTTTTAAACAATAAAAGC